GACTGCACCCGCGACACCCGATAATGATCTCGCCATGCTCAGCCTCCCTCTCCAAATCCTCCTCGTTGACAAAGAATCCGCGCTCATCACCGCACCGACATCCGCGATACCAGCAGTCGCCGTCGCCGCCTTCCGCCTCCTCGCAGGCAAGATCCTCCAAATCCACGATCTCCAAGCCAGTATGGAACACATTGCCGGTCTTCTCCCTCTCTGCAACCTTCAGCCTATCCAGACGTAGAGAGCGATCATATTCAGCGCGGAGGACGGGATCCGATAGGGTCTTGTAGGCGGTGGTGATCTGGTCGATGGTATACAGCTGTTGCGACGAGTTGCCACCGGATCTGGAAAAGAGAGGGTTCAGAGTAGATGCGGATGTAGAGTTAGTCGAGCCACCTAGCCCAGTTTCCCTTGCGACAGCACCCGCCTTGTCAGGGTGGTGTTTCAGCAATGCTTTATGGTATGCGATCTTAATTTGCGGCTTGGAGAGGACTATTGAGGAAGACCCTGCGAAGGGAAGAGACAGGATCTCATAGAGATCCACAGCGTGCGTCGTCCTCGTCATGTCGAAAAAGTTTATTCCTCTTTCTGTTCAGGGTCTGCTTGTCGTGCCTGGCTGGTTGCGCTGTTTCCGTGTCCCGCGCTGAGTCGAGCGACCAGTCAGAGGGGTGCGCGTCAGGTTGTAGCAGTGACACCTCGGAGTTTTAGCGGAGAGGTCCAATCGCGTACATTCCAGGGAATGAATGTGATATTCTGCTGTGGCAGGGGTGCTGCAAAGCGGGGTGGGCTTTGTCACTGAGAGGATTCCATGAGGATTTAAAAATGGCGGGTCACCCTTGCACGCCACTTTGGGAAAGGGCCTTCCGGACCCATACCTGTTGGTGTTAGACGTTGGCTACGTCGCCTCCTTTTATCTCTTATATTTTCTTGATATCTTGGTCATGAATGTATATTTTCCTACAATATTCACCACCTTGGTGGGTAGTGATTCTTTAGAGTTATGCGATACAGCTCTGCCAAACTTTGCCCGATGGCTCTATGCGAACTATGCTAATGCTGCATGCTACCCGAGGCGAAACTTACATGCTGTGAATACAGCTGAGACCACTGGTGCATGCAAATATGGAAGGGAATCGAAAGGTCCATTGACAACAAGAAAAAGAATCTTAGTGAGTAATGACTCGGATATCAAGACAGGTATATAAAAGGAGACGGGAATATTAGGCAATTTTTGGGCGATCCCTTACTCAGAAGTCTTGAAGACGAAGCGGTCCTCAGTCTTGAAGGGCACACCGAGCTCAAGGAGCTTGACAAAAACATCAGAGAACTCCTTGAAGAAGACATCGCTGTCCTTGGCATAGCGCTCGACGTGCTTCTTGAAACCCTTATCCTTGAGAAGAGCCATATCAGTGGGCAACATCATGAGTGTGCCAGTGGTCTTGTCAGTGAACTGAGTCGGGCCGTTCCACTTCTTCTGGGCCCACTTCTCCTCAGCAAGGAGGCGGAAGAACTCATTGCTGAAAACAGTAGGGCTGAAGTTCCAGGGGCCGTCGAAGCCAGAACGATCGGTGTGACAGCGACCCAGGGCATGGGCGCCGATCAGTGCAACCATCTCGCGGTCATCAAAGCCCATGCGGGAGAAGACATCGCGGATGTGACGGTGGTCCTTGGCGGCGTCAGGAAGACGACCGTCGGGAGTGCATGCGGCGACGTCCCTGTCCTCACGGCCGGGTCTCCAGGGGATCGTAGGGCCACTCAGCTCTTGGATGGCGCAAGCACCACCAAGCGTCCACAGATCGGAGTAAGAGATCCAGGGGAACTGGGCCTTGATTGGCTCGAGGAAGTCGCGGGCAGTCTTGAGACCGGCGTTGGCGCCGTGATCGGACTCCGGGGCGAATCTCATGGTGGCGCCGTTGCTGCCTCCGGTGCCGGTCTCCTTATCATAGGTACCACTTGCGTGCCATGCGAGACGAACCAGGACCTATTGAGAGCAACAAAAACATCTAGGTTAGTCCTTTGATCTTGGATGACAACATCGAGCAGAAGTGACTTGACTTACGGGACCATAGCTGCCGTCATCGTAGTCGGTCTCGTTGGCCAGGCGGGCAGCGATAGCGTCGTACACCTTCTGGTAGTCGGCCTGGGTGGGGACGAAGGGCCCCTTGGGGGAGGAGGAGTCGCCGTTCAGGTAGAAGTATGCTCCACCACCGAGGGCACCGAGACCAAGAGCCCATAGTCCAAAGGATGATGAGCCGGACTTCTCAGAGCCAGCTTCTGAAGCATATCCGCGACGAGGAGAGCCGCGGAGACCGTTGGCAGGGATGGCGAAACGGGCGTTGCGCACAGCAGGACGGAAAGAGGAAGTCGCCGGGGTCGAGCGCAGGAAGGCCCGGGAAGCAGTTCTGGCAGCCGAAGCCATTGTGATAGTACAGAGAGGGTGGGAGATAAGAAGTCTATGGGGTTGCCACTCAGGGAAAAGGAGGTAAAGGTGGGAGTAGAAGTACAAACGAAGAGAGAAGGGAGGAACCGGGCATTTGTACTTCTCCTGTCCCATTCTCCAAAGTCAACCCTGAGCCAATACTTCGGTACATCATACAGAAGCTGATGGAATCACAGCCAATCAAGGGGGCCACATATGCTATTGCCTCGGCGTTTCGTTTCATCTCCGCGTTCCGGTACATCACCGTACATCATCCCCAGACTTTCACTTCACTTTTGCCAATTGTTGTATTCTTCATTGTCTCTATATGTTACTACATCCCAGGAGATCGTACTCGTTGAATTGGCAGTACAGACTGATACCAAAGGCGCGAGTTAAAAAAGATAACGAATCTCGGGAAACTTCAATGTTATTATTAACAGCCAAGCGCTGTTTGGCCAATGTGGACCCACCGCGCCGCTTTTTACTTGCTTACCTGATCGAACAGTTTGCCCCCAGACCCAGCTTGCTCGGTAATAACCCAGGTCTAGATACTATACGGAGGACTCCGTACGTCTAAATTTATTGAATAAGACGTCAAATAAGCTATTTATTAATCTTTGAGTTCGAGATTCCCTTGGCAAGATTGAAAACATTTAATGGCTCGATCTTATTACCCATGGTTCGAGCCTGATTACTGACAGGTTTGTCCATCGATCCATGGATGGTATGTCGCTATGACAGATCCTGCCATGTGATTCCTTTAAAGTCGATGGATGCCCGGTTTTATATGTATGAAACTGCTCTCACTGGAGCAGAAGTCCTCGTATTAGCAGTGTGGAGGAAAGAAGTATACACAGCCATTATACGCGTGACCATGCCTTATTCTCTTCTCCAATCTCGCAACGAACTATCCAAAATCCTGTGCCATTTCTTTCTAGAACCTCCAGGGCCATATTGATTCTATGTCCATATTCCCTTGCTTTGACAACCAGTCCGTTTTGCCTGATGCTCTCGATGAATCGTCCCAACGCATCGCCCTTGGACAGTATCGGTTCATACATCGACTGACTTGTCAATGCTGTGATGAGAAACCCTCGCTTGTATCTATATGTACATAGTGCCAAGGTTGAGGTAGCGGGATTCAGCGGATAAAATTTGAGCCAAAAGGTCATGTGACACATATCGATGCCCCCCACCTCAAGCAGTACGATGATTAATGATCTAGGAAAAGGAATATAATATGAGATGCGGAGTAAATTTGGATACAGATTTCCATTATTAGTTGGGGATGTCCGTCGTAAAAAAGTCCTGCTGTCCAATAGATATGGACACCAGGGTGGAGTAGACGCAGCTCTGCTAAAAACTGTTTGGTTTTGATATTCCACGAACGAACGATTAAAAAATCACCCAAGAGACGTCCAGTGCCACAGGTAGGCACCACGCGGGTTATGTGGTTTGAAGTTTATATCCTGAATGTTGGATCCAAGTCCTCAACAATCCCGGACATTAAAGGATTGGATTCTCGAGTCTCCAACACGCGAATGGTTGCAGAAGAAGGAAAATTGTGAAGTGGGAAAGTTTTTATCTTAATCCCCGTGGCACGTGATTGGACTAGTGTAGTCACATGACCATGTCCTTTTGTATCGAAAATTTCCGCGCAAATTGCGGACTTCTCTTCTTTACACTTTTCCGAACGCATAATCAACCGCCAATTCCTCTATCATAGGATGGTAGGTCATATTGGCGTACTAGAAGATATTCCTGGATATCATTACGACTTCTCGACGGCTCCGAAAAGGCTTCGGCCTTTAGGCGCATTGGTAGATGCGAGTCATTGGTGTCCGGACATACCATTCTATTCTTTTTTAGCATTAATATAAATGATCTTTGACTTTACTTTGGAACCCCGTATGAGCCTGGGCTCAAGCCTATAAACCTAAGAGTTCTAAAGTGTTCTAGAAGATCGGGCCTATAGAGAACACTATGTCGGAAGAAACACGGAACGAACGATATAGCAGATTGTCAACTCAACCTTGGAACAGTTAAGCTAAAACCTTTAAAATTTTGACTCTTTAGTCTACCTTTCTTCACTCTCTGTACTCCGTATACTCCGTAGTGTACAAATATGTCTCATTTGGAATGATCTGCCTCTCGGACGTCAATTGAACCCTTCTCCGCCCTGGGAACCAGAATTCTTCCCCTATTCCACTTTGTATTACTGCCACTCCTTCTATTTATTTATTCTTGTAATTATTTTTTTTTTTTTTTTC